TGATGGATGATGTGAGATGTTACACTGATGGATGATGTGAGGTGAGATGTTACACTGATGGATGATGTGAGGTGAGATGTTACACTGATGGATGATGTGAGGTGAGATGTTACACTGATGGATGATGTGAGGTGAGATGTTACACTGATGGATGATGTGAGGTCAGATGTTACACTGATGGATGATGTGAGGTGAGATGTTACACTGATGGATGATGTGAGGTGAGATGTTACACTGATGGATGATGTGAGGTGAGATGTTACACTGATGGATGATGTGAGGTGAGATGTTACACTGATGGATGATTTCAGGTGAGATGTTACACTGATCGATGATGTAAGGTGTTACACTGATGGATGATGTGATGATGAGATGTTACACTGATGGATGATGTGAGGTGAGGTGTCACACTGATGGATGATGTGATGATGAGATGTTACACTGATGGATGATGTGAGGTGAGGTGTCACACTGATGGATGATGTGATGATGAGATGTTACACTGATGGATGATGTGAGGTGAGGTGTTACACTGATGGATGATGTGATGATGAGATGTTACACTGATGGATGATGTGAGGTGAGGTGTCACACTGATGGATGATGTGATGATGCGATGTTACACTGATGGATGATGAGGTGAGATGTTACACTGATGTATGATGTGAGGTGAGGTGCTACGCTGATGGATGATGAGGTGAGGTGTTAAACTTGTGGATGATGAGGTGAGATGTTAAACTGATGGATGATGTGAGGTCAGATGTTACACTGATGTATGATTTGAGGTGAGGTGTCACACTGATGGATGATGTGATGATGCGATGTTACACTGATGGATGATGTGAGGTGAGATGTTAAACTGATGGATGATGTGAGTTGAGATGTTACACTGATGGATGATGTGAGGTGAGGTGTCACTCTGATGGATCATGTGATTATGAGATGTTACACTGATAGATGATGTGAGGTGAGGTGTCACACTGATGGATGATGTGATGATGCGATGTTACACTGACGGATGATGTGAGGTGAGATGTTAAACTGATGGATGATGAGGTGAGATGTTACACTGATGGATGATGTGAAGTGAGGTGTTACACTGACGGATGATGTGAGGTGAGATGTTAAACTGATGGATGATGTGAGGTGAGATGTTAAACTGATGGATGATGTGAGGTGAGATGTTACACTGATGGATGATGTGAGGTGAGATGTTAAACTGATGGATGATGTGAGGTGAGATGTTACACTGATGGATGATGTGAGGTCAGATGTTACACTGATGTATGATTTAAGGTGAGATGTTACACTGATGGATGATGTGATGATGAGATGTTACACTGATGGATGATGTGAGGTGAGGTGTCACACTGATGGATGATGTGATGATGAGATGTTACACTGATGGATGATGTGAGGTGAGTGTTACACTGATGGATGATGTGATGATGAGATGTTACACTGATGGATGATGTGAGGTGAGGTGTTACACTGATGGATGATGTGATGATGAGATGTTACACTGATGGATGATGTGAGGTGAGGTGTCACACTGATGGATGATGTGATGATGAGATGTTACACTGATGGATGATTTGAGGTGAGGTGTCACACTGATGGATGATGTGATGATGCGATGTTACACTGATGGATGATGTGAGGTGAGATGTTAAACTGATGGATGATGTGAGGTGAGATGTTACACTGATGGATGATGTGAGGTGAGGTGTCACTCTGATGGATGATGTGATGATGAGATGTTACACTGATGGATGATGTGAGGTGAGGTGTCACACTGATGGATGATGTGATGATGCGATGTTACACTGATGGATGATGTGAGGTGAGATGTTAAACTGATGGATGATGTGAGGTGAGATGTTACACTGATGGATGATGTGAAGTGAGGTGTTACACTGATGGATGATGTGAGGTGAGATGTTACACTGATGGATGATGTGAGGTGAGATGTTAAACTGATGGATGATGTGAGGTGAGATGTTACACTGATGGATGATGTGAGGTGAGATGTTAAACTGATGGATGATGTGAGGTGAGATGTTACACTGATGGATGATGTGAGGTCAGATGTTACACTGATGTATGATTTAAGGTGAGATGTTACACTGATGGATGATGTGATGATGAGATGTTACACTGATGGATGATGTGAGGTGAGGTGTCACACTGATGGATGATGTGATGATGAGATGTTACACTGATGGATGATGTGAGGTGAGGTGTTACACTGATGGATGATGTGATGATGATGAGATGTTACACTGATGGATGATGTGAGGTGAGGTGTTACACTGATGGATGATGTGATGATGAGATGTTACACTGATGGATGATGTGAGGTCAGGTGTCACACTGATGAATGATGTGATGATGAGATGTTACACTGATGGATGATGTGAGGTGAGGTGTTACACTGATTGATGATGTGATGATGAGATGTTACACTGATGGATGATGTGAGGTGAGGTGTTACACTGATGGATGATGTGATGATGAGATGTTACACTGATGGATGATGTGAGGTGAGGTGTCACACTGATGGATGATGTGATGATGCGATGTTACACTGATGGATGATGTGAGGTGAGGTGTTAAACTGATGGATGATGTGAGGTGAGATGTTACACTGATGGATGATGTGAGGTGAGGTGTTAAACTGATGGATGATGAGGTGAGAAACTGATGGATGATGTGAGGTGAGATGTTACACTGATGGATGATGTGAGGTGAGATGTTACACTGATGGATGATGTGAGGTGAGGTGTTAAACTGATGGATGATGTGAGGTGAGAAACTGATGTATGATTTGATGATGAGGTGTTACACTGATGGATGATGTGAGGTGTTACACTGATGGATGATGTGAGGTGTTACACTGATGGATGATGTGAGGTGAAGTGTTACACTGATGGATGATGTGAGGTGAGGTGTTACACTGATGGATGATGTGATGATGAGATGTTACACTGATGGATGATGTGAGGTGAGGTGTTACACTGATGGATGATGTGATGATGAGATGTTACAGTGATGGATGATGTGAGGTGTTACACTGATGGATGATGTGAGGTGTTGCACTGATGGATGGTGTGAGGTGAGGTGTCGCACTGATGGATGATGTGATGATGAGATGTTACACTGATGGATGATGTGAGGTGAGATGTTACACTGATGGATGATGTGATGATGAGATGTTACACTGATGGATGATGTGAGGTGAGATGTTACACTGATGGATGATGTGAGGTGAGATGTTACACTGATGGATGATGTGAGGTGTTACACTGATGGATGATGAGGTGAGGTGTTACAGTGATGGATGATGTGAGGTGAGATGTTACACTGATGGATGATGTGAGGTGTTACACTGATGGATGATATGAGGTGTTACACTGATGGATGATGTGAGGTGTTACACTGATGGATGATGTGATGTGAGTTGTTACACTGATGGATGATGAGAGGTGTTATACTGATGGATGAGGTGAGATGTTACACTGATGGATGATGTGAGGTGTTACACTGATGGGTGATGTGAGGTGAGGTGTTACACTGATGGATGATGTGAGGTGAGATGTTACACTGATGGATGATGTGAGGTGAGGTGTTACACTGATGGATGATGTGAGTGAGATGTTACACTGATGGATGATTTGAGGTGAGATGTTACACTGATGGATGATGTGAGGTGAGGTGTTACACTGATGGATGATGAGATGAGATGAGTGTTACACTGATGGATGATGTGAGATGAGGTGTTACACTGATGGATGAAGTGAGGTGTTACACTGATGGATGATTTGAGGTGAGATGTTACACTGATGGATGATGTGAGGTGAGATGTTACACTGATGGATGATGTGAGATGTTACTCTGATGGATGATGTGAGATGTTACACTGATGGATGATGTGAGGTGAGATGTTACACTGATGGATGATGTGAGGTGAGATGTTACACTGATGGATGAATGTGAGGTGAGATGTTACACTGATGGATGATGTGAGGTGAGGTGTTAAACTGATGGATGATTTTAGATGTTACACTGATGGATGATGTGAGGTGTTACACTGATGGATGATTTGAGGTGTTACACTGATGGATGATGTCAGGTGTTACACTGATGGATGATTTGAGGTGAGATGTTACACTGATGGATGATGTGAGGTGTTACACTGATGGATGATTTGAGGTGTTACACTGATGGATGATGTGAGATGAGGTGTTACACTGATGGATGAAGTGAGGTGTTACACTGATGGATGATTTGAGGTGAGATGTTACACTGATGGATGATGTGAGGTGTTACACTGATGATGGATGATGTGAGGTGAGATGTTACACTGATGGATGATGTGAGGTGAGATGTTACACTGATGGATGATGTGAGGTGAGATGTAACACTGATGGATGAATTGAGATGTTACACTGATGGATGATGTGAGGTGAGGTGTCACATGATGTGAGATGAGGTGTTACACTGATGGATGATGTGAGGTGTTACACTGATGGATGAAGTGTACACTGATGGATGATTTGAGGTGAGATGTTACACTGATGGATGATGTGAGGTGTTACACTGATGGATGATGAGGTGAGATGTTACACTGATGGATGATGTGAGGTGAGATGTTACACTGATGGATGATGAGGTGAGATGACTGATGGATGAATTGAGATGTTACACTGATGGATGATGTGAGGTGTCACACTGTGAGATGTTACACTGATGGATGATGTGAGATGAGATGTTACACTGATGGATGGATGATGTGAGATGTTACACTGATGGATGATGTGAGGTGTTCCACTGATGTGATGTGAGATATTACACTGATGGATGATGTGATGTGAGATGTTACACTGATGGATGATGTGAGGGGTTACACTGATGGATGATGTGAGGTGAGGTGTTACACTGATGGATGATGTGATGATGTTTTTAGTAACACTGCTGACTGTTGACGTCGCTGTCCTCAGGTTGTTCCTGACAACGAGCACACGCCGTCCTGGGTGTACCCACTGCCTGATGATAACTTCACTGAGGTGGCGATATCGGAATCTGTTGGGTTGGGGACGTCTGTCCTGACCCTGGCCGCGACAGATGACGATCTAGGAGAGGACGGGACGCTGACCTTTTCTCTCATATCTCTAACATTAGGTACGGGTTCCATTATACTTTTCGTCTTTTTCATAAACGAGCTTGTGACTGAAATGTATGACAAATCGGCTACAGTCGGCTACATTCAGCACCACACATCGAGTATTAACAACGATATTCACGTGATAACATGTTATTTTAAATTGTGATAACACGCTTGTTCCTCTACTACTTTCAATCTGCAGAAAGTATATACTAGTATTCTATGGATCACAGGTTTGTAACCATAAGCCCAAATGGCTACATAACCAACCATGCTCCAAACAGCCTTCTTGTGCAGGTAAAGATTGGTGTTTGTTAAAACCAGAGACGTATAGACTACTAAACAGGTATAGAAGTTACCGTAATAATTTACGAAAATAATTAAAGACTAAAGCCGACATCAAATAGTGTTTTAGTTCTAAAAAGAATTATCTGACCAGAAAATAGCAGGGGATGGTTCGTGTACTTGGAGATTTAAACGCTTCTCGCAAACGTGCACTTTTTGCTAATACAGGTGATCCCCGGTTACGCCACAAACTTGGTTCTCTTTTTTAAAATCCTCTCAACCCAGACACAAATATCTGAGTTAGACTTTGTTAAGACAGTGCATGGCGTGTGAGTACCTGTTCATAGTGTCCTGTAACTCCTTTCAGGGGAAATGACAACTGCAGAAGTAAATGATGCTATTAATGACCTAAAGAGCGGGAAAAGCATCAGGATAAGATGGAAATCCACCAGAGTTCACAACGTGCTCCAGTGACATGCGCATAGACGATATAAATGTTATATTCAATCAAATATTTTTTTTATGTAATCTGGAGACTTTCCTACAGTTTTGATTGTAGGTGTAATGTTTCCACCCCAAAGGCAGACCTTAACAATTGCTGTGGGATTTCTATTTTGAACGTTGTCGGAAAATTAAGAAATCTGTTAGAAAAAGGTTTGAGGGCTTGGATAGAATTGAACGACTTAATGTCCGAATCGCAAGTTGGCTTTGGGTCTACGTACTCTACAGCTAACAAAATCTGTTCTCTACATGTATTGGTACCTAAGTATTTGTTTAAGGTATGAATGGTTCCATTTGGTATTCATTAACTTTAAGTAGGCCTTTGACTAATATTATGTAGATATTAACATATTATTCATTAAATTAGCACAATCAGGGTTGTCATGGGAAAATATTTAATGCACTTAAACATGTGTATTCATTTGTTCAGTCATATGTGAGGTCAAACTGTCAAAGAACAATTAACTTCAGTACATTGGCAGGTGTTCGACAATGCTATAGTCTCAGTCCTATACTTTTCGCCTTGTTCATAAACGAGCTTGTGACTGCAATGTATGACAAATGTCATCATGGTATATTGTTACAAAAGAAATTTATGATATAATGATTCTTTTTTTTGCCTATGATGTTACAGTGTTATCTTTAAACAATTAAACAATTAAATGTGCTTCAATCTTACTGTGAAAGATGGGGGATTTAAGTCAGTTTAACTAGAACCGGTGTTGTCGTATTCAGAAATGGTGGCTGTTGCTAAACGTGAAAGCTACACAACATGAATCTCAACATGGTACCATATCATGAATATTTAGGTATCTAGCGACTCGCGTTTCACATGCTATGATACGTTTATTCACACAATATACGAAAAAATAGCTGCTTATTGTTTACAGCTGCTTGTAAAATATTTGATAGTAAAGTTTCGTTGTAGTCTGAACACAGTTAAGGGTCATACAACACAGGATAAAATTAGTTCATATGAACTGTTCTAAATACTCATGCAAATGTTATGTAATGTTCAAAACGTCAGATGATTCTTGAAAGCGTAACTGGACATCAAATGTCAGAAGTATACTCATGCCAATAATGGCTGTCATTCCCTCCCCACCCCAACCCACAATAATACACACCTCACCCCCCCCCTCTCCAAATAAAAAATTGAAGTCAGAAGTATTTACCTATGTTTGGTTAAGAAGAAGTGTTGTTTATTCTACATTGCTTACATCTATCTTCAAGCAACGGTTAAAAGATACTGACTTACAAACTTGCCATAGATTTATATTTAATTTATCTTTGCACTATATAAGTAATTAGAGTAATATTAAGCCGTTTTTACCGCCTGAAATATTATTTAACGTATCTTTCGGATATGCCTTTGCTCAGGGCTTTATGTAAACTTAGAATATCTCTTCATAATTGCAGCATAAATAATCTACATAAAATAAAAAATTAGCATGTGCTTAAATCACTCTGTCTGCAATGTTATATTAACGCGAGGAAAGACGAGTTCCACATCATGTGTATTTGAAAAACGAATCGTGACCTTAGATTAAAATATCTTCCAAGCCTATCCAATATTTATCACTATTCGCAAGATCGCTTCTGTCAGATATCAAATACAATACTCACCATGTTTCTTAAAATGTATGTACAGAGATGTAAATGAAAGTATAAAAATATAGGTGACAGTTGTATTCTAGGCCATGGGGCAATGAGGCCCATCCATGTGTGACCACGCTATCTTAGAATGTTGATAGACACAGTGACTCAATACACATGGATTGAGTAAGTGAGAAAGTGAGTCAGGTGTTGACGACGCCTTTAACAGAATGTTAGTTGTCGCGGTGAGTCACGTTAATTGTGACGGAAAGATGGAAGTGGTTCGGGCCTCAGGTCACTATGGCGAAACCTTTGAGCATGGGTGCGGTGATTTGAAACCGGAATACATAATTGGTTTGAAATGCACTCAGGATTTAGATGAACCAACTTAGACATACCTCCATTGCCTATCTACTGTTACATTTGTCTTTCAGCAAATGGGTCGATCTCACCGCCAGTCTTCTCTCTAGATTCAACGACGGGGTTGTTACAAACTGCCTCCCTCCTCGATTGCGACCCTGACACCGGGGGGACGGAATATTTTGATATGGTTGTCATGGTTACTGACAACGGTGTCCCATTGAAATCTTCAAATAGAACAATACGTGTATTGGTTGATGACGTCAATGACAATCCGCCAGAGACTGACTTCAGAGAAGAAGTAGTTGTCGACTGTGCCAAGGATGTTGGTGACATACTTACCTCCATCAACGTCACTGACGCCGATGTCACCAAGGGAGACTACTCTTTCGGAATTATATATTCTGAGATCGCTAGTGTTAGAGTTAATGAAACGTCAGGAAGTATTATACTTCTGTCGAAATCAATAAACAATGAAAATAGAAATGTAAGCGTTGTTATAGAAGTGACAGATGGGATTTTTAGTGTTACAGTGATAAAGGTCTTGCATTTACGAAACTGTTCCTTGGAATATAATGAGTCAACTGTTTCAACAGAATCTACTGAATCTATCGCAGAAACTACATCAACCACGGTGACGCAATCCTCCCAGTCCCAACATGCTGGATCAGGTGAGCTAACAATGTAAATGTGCTTAGTCAGCATCACGTACACTTTGATAGAAATGCTAACTGGATTTGAAACTACTGACGGATTATTCAGTATCTATTTCTAAGTAATGCTAAACAGTTACATAGCTTTACTTGCGGCGGCGAAGTCGTTCAAATTGCATACTTTCGGTTTCACGATTTACCACAAATAGTGATGCCGAGTAACAACACTCTGTCACTCATTCCTTCACTCTCTCATTCAAACAACACTCTGTCACTCATTCCTTCACTCTCTCATTCAAACAACACTCTGTCACTCATTCCTTCACTCTCTCATTCAAACAACACTCTGTCACTCATTCCTTCACTCTCTCATTCAAACAACGCTCTGTCACTCATTCCTTCACTCTCTCATTCAAACAACACTCTGTCACTCATTCCTTCACTCTCATTCAAACAACACTCTGTCACTCATTCCTTCACTCTCTCATTCAAACAACGCTCTGTCACTCATTCCTTCACTCTCTCATTCAAACAACACTCTGTCACTCATTCCTTCACTCTCTCATTCAAACAACACTCTGTCACTCATTCCTTCACTCTCTCATTCAAACAACACTCTGTCACTCATTCCTTCACTCTCATTCAAACAACACTCTTCACTTCTCTCATTCAAACAACGCTCTGTCACTCATTCCTTCACTCTCTCATTCAAACAACACTCTGTCACTCATTCCTTCACTCTCTCATTCAAACAACGCTCTGTCACTCATTCCTTCACTCTCTCATTCAAACAACGCTCTGTCACTCATTCCTTCACTCTCTCATTCAAACAACGCTCTGTCACTCATTCCATTCAACACTCTGTCACTCATTCTTCACTCTCTCATTCAAACAACACTCTGTCACTCATTCCTTCACTCTCATTCAAACAACACTCTTCACTCACTCATTCAAACAACGCTCTGTCACTCATTCATTCTTCACTCTCTCATTCAAACACACTCTGTCACTTCACTCTCCTTCTTCACTCTCTCTCATTCAAACAACACTCTGTCACTCTCCTTCACTCTCTCATTCCTTCACTCTCTCATTCAAACAACGCTCTGTCACTCATTCCTTCTCATTCAAACAACACTCTCTCATTCAAACAAACACTCTGTCACTCATTCCTTCACTCTCTCATTCAAACAACGCTCTGTCACTCATTCCTTCACTCTCTCATTCAAACAACACTCTGTCACTCATTTCCTTCACTCTCTCATTCAAACAACACTCTGTCACTCATTCCTTTCCTTCACTCTCTCATTCTCTCATTCAAACAAACGCTCTGTCACACTCTCATTCCTTCACTCTCTCATTCAAACAACACTCTGTCACTCATTCCTTCACTCTCATTCAAACAACACTCTGTCACTCACTCCTTCACTCTCATTCAAACAACACTCTGTCACTCATTCCTTCACTCTCTCATTCAAACAACACTCTGTCACTCATTCCTTCACTCTCTCATTCACTCCAGACAATGCCGGTGTTGTGGAGGTGTGGTCGCTACGAGCTGCGTGTGGGGTCCTCGGGCTCTCCCTGGCAGGAACCGTCACCACACTGGTCATCAGGAGCATGTTAAGGTCAGCGTACTCGATTTGTTTGGTCAATAATATGTTAAGGTCAGTTGACTCAGTATTGTTTGGTCAGACATATACCAAAGTCAGTAAATACGATATGTTTGGTGAGACATATGACAAAGTCAGTAAATACGAAATGTTTGGTGAGACACATGACAAAGTCAGTAAATACGATATGTTTGGTGAGACACATCAGACACAGCATGACAAAGTCAGAAAATACGATTTGTTTTATGAGACATTTGGTCGGGCAGACACATAACAAAGTCAGTAAATACGATTTGTTTGGTCAGAACAATACGATATGCGGTCTGCCAAAGTCAGTATCGAGTCTGGAGCGATGGAAAGGAACAATCGATATGTCTGTAATGTATGAGTCTGGATCGATCTACGCAGTTTGATTACGATGATCAGTCAAGCCAGCCAGCCTGACCACGTGGTCTCCATTAGTCGTCTTTTACGACACACATGGGATGCAGAAGATCAGTTCTAACCCATATCGTTGAATGGTCTCTGGTCAAGATGACTACTCTATGTTTTGTATATGTCTTTGTTAACAAAGGTGATCAGAAGTTTGGATTCCTTGAAATTCCCTTTATCAGTTAAAACAAGTTTATTAATGAATGCATAAAGCTTCAGTAAATCTGGAGTTTACCTGGAGTGGTGATTTCATGGTCCCTGTGGCAAATACGTTTTGGATATGATCACTATATATTTATCTTTTACAGCCCTTCAACGAAACCGAAGAACGACTTCACAGAAAACCGGGGTATATCAGTTGTGCAATATTAGAGCAACATTTCCCACTATAGTCCAACTATCAATTCTACATGCTGTTATAACACTGCGAATACGTTAATCGTAATGAATGATTGGATTCTCTACGAATGAAAGCCATGTCAGATAACAGTTTCAGTCTGATTGCCCGTCAGCTCCTGATTCAGTGCTAGTTTATCATTTGTAAATACAAGTATACGTCAAATATAATAATTTTCAGTTTCTCCAACAAGTTCTTCATCATCATCATCCCAGCTGGAAAGACGGACAGAAATTACCACCTGTACCTCTGTTGAATCATTGGCAAGTATCGAGTTATCTCCCTTGAACCATCACCCCTACTCTACCTGTCAAGTACTATCATGTTTTAGTCACTTACACACCGCCACTCACACACCGTCACTTCACACCGGCATTTACACACCGTCACTTACATAATGTCAGTTGCACACCGCCACTTCACACCGGCATTTACACACCGTCGATTACACACCGTCACTTACATACCGTCACTTACACATCGTTACTTACTCACCGTCACTTCACATCGGCATTTACACACCGTCACTTCACACCGGCATTTATACACCGTCACTTCACACCGGTATTTACACACCGTCGCTTACACACCGTCACTTACACACACGTTACTTACACACCGTCACTTCACCGGCATTTACACACGTCGATTACACCGTCACTTACACACCGTTACTTACACACCGTCACTTCACACCGGCATTTACACACCGTCGCTTACACACCGTCACTTACACACCGTCACTTACATACCGTCACTTACACACCGTTACTTACACACCGTCACTTCACACCGGCATTTACACACCGTCACTTACATACCGCTGACACAATCATATGTTCAACCTTTCGGCATGTTTTAAAACTTAAACCTCAGCTATTTACAAATATCCCAACGTATGTTTAAAGAACGGGACGCGGCAGATCTATATTTTTCACACAAAACAAATAAATTAGTTCTATGCAGTCATTTGCAGTTGGTTTAGAGCGACGATGTGAGGTGTTCGGCCTGAAACTGACGTTGTGTTCCTGTCCACCTCGTATAGCGACGATGTGAGGTGTTCGGACTGAAACTGACGTTGTGTTCCTGTCCACCTCGTATAGCGACGATTTGAGGTGTTCGGACTGAAACTGACGTTGTGTTCCTGTCCACCTCGTATAGCGATGACGATGTGACTGAAACTGACGTTGTGGTCCACCTCGTAGACGATGTGAGGTGTTCGACTTGAAAGGTTGTGTTTGTCCACCTCCTATATGCGGGACAATGTCGGGTGGTGAGGCGAACGGGTGGTGACGAACCACGTCCATTGTTCTTAAAGAGTTACCTCCCTTGACCTCTCCTTCTGCTCGATTGTTGGTTAAAGTCGCACATCAAACTCTATGGTGAAGGTCTATATATGAGTCTGGACAGATACTCCAGTTATCAACATCATGACCATTAAGCTACACAAGCAGTGACATGCAATCAACAAAGATGTCGACACTGACCCTACAGTCAATTAAGTGGAAGACAAGAATCGACTGTCAATTTTCAAACTAGAAAAACACATATAGGGCAGTTTCTGCCATGACTATTTAGTTTGGATCAAACATGGTTCAGTACTTAGGTATAGTTATATTAGTTAAAACTAAAACCCAACTGGTGGCATGTCACCTGTTCTCGGATTTCCACGTGTCTATGTTCGGAGTACATTCCAAATTCTATATTAATAGGTCGTATATTCAGCTGAACAATAGTTGTTAATTTCAAAATATCTATAATTATTGAAGATCTACTGATATGTTTTCAGGAGGACTACTTCCTTTAATGGTCAACTGCCGGTAAAGCATCTTGAAGTCCCTTCCACCATCAGACAAACTGACGACCCCTTCCACTGATGGTCAGACTATCGGCTTTCGTTAGAAGCGTTTGTAATATCCCCATCAGCCATCAGTTTGGCATCACTAAACGGTCCCAATGCCTCGTGGTACCATCCCCGCAGTGAAGGGAGAGTCAGAACAATTGGTCTCACGTGTCAGGACATAACCGCAACGATAATGCTGAGATTGTTTGTTAAAAGTCGCCATGTTGTAGGAGCAGTGGTAATTACAGACACATATTGTTGTAGGTTTGTAGTCTGTACAAGCATATTATACTTGCCGTTTATATATGTTTCCAGATGTGAATCAAGCATAGTTTCATATGATGGATAAGATAAATGGATGACATGGAAATCAATGATTGTTACGTCGAAATGACAGTACATCTATTTATTCTAGTGGAAATGTTACGATCTTGTAGTCAGTAGATGTAAAACCTTTAACAAAGACACGAAATCGATCCCCATGTTCAGGTATCCCGTATTCCATATGTCTCCTGTTGAAATATTTTACGAAATGAAAATCAAGATTACTGTCTTGTACCTGGAACCACCTATTAATGACACCTAAATCATAGTAAGATGCAGTACACAGAAACGGCTGTATTATTATCGTTATTAAACAGTGTTATTAACATCATGGGCGGATTAGATTATGTGTCAGATGGTCATTAGCATGGGGACATCGGTATCACGTCTTCTTTACTCCTTGAAGGACATCTTCACGATAGTCACAAAGATATTTCTTCTTTGATTGGCATTCTAGAAGTTGGTTAGATGAAGGATGAGGACTATTTTTATGGATATACAACTTCTTTATTCTGTATAGGCGACGTTTCGACATAGATTCTAATGTCGTTGTCAAGCAAGTGATTGCTTGACTTCCACCTGCTTGACAACGACATTAGAATCTATGTCGAAACGTCGCCTATACAGAATAAAGAAGTTGTATATCCATAAAATAGTCCTGAAGGATGAGGACTATTTTTATGGATATACAACTTCTTTATTCTGTATAGGCGACGTATAGATTTTAATGTCGTTGTCAAGCAAGTGATTGCTTGACTTCCACACTGCTTGACAACGACATTAGAATCTATGTCGAAACGTCGCCTATACAGAATAAAGAAGTTATATATCCATAAAAATAGTCCTCATCCTTCAACCACAAAGAAATTTACAAAATACCAGATAGAGTATATAGACACAACTATTACAAACTTTTAAAACTGATTATATTGTCAGTTTGTATTGTCGTAGTGCCACCATTGTGGTATTATTAAGACACATAGCATCATCAGCACTGAGCCAAGCAATTTTGTTGACAGGTCATATTAAGAGTCCACGTACGACCAGGCACTTATAAATGAGTATTATAAATGAGAGTAGCGCCCCTTGGTCCAAGCGGACATCGAAACTTTATCCGCGTGTTGAGAAATGCAGTCACGTGTCGTGAATCATTCGTGCTCTCAAATTGATCTGGTGATTTCGCTTAGCCGTAATTACAACCACTTTCACAACAAATAGAGCGAGCATCTGTTGTCTGGTATGAAATCACATTACCAACATGGCATGACAAGGGGAGAACCTCCCTTCGACCCTCTTCACGTCTCGCCTACACTGAACCGAGTTTGCAGGCTGATTTTGCTTTGAATGCAGATGACAAATTTGAATAACTTCATGATGTGTTTGTATATTTATTCTGTTATAAACGTGCACGATTTTAGAATCTCATGGTTTTTCTCAAAAGATTTTCTAAAAAGGTGTGTACTTCTAGCCTTAAGAGAACAGTAAACAGTGCTGATCGTGCACTGTAGGTGTTGCGATGATCAAGACAATAGTTGCTCCATGATTCAACTATGGAACTGGGTTATGACGGGTTTGGAGCACCTGCTTAAGGCATTCCCCACAACAAAAATGCTGCTGAAGCAGAGGCCATTCAGGAAGTCCACAACATCGTCCTGCGTGTCAACCGAACACCAGGTGTTGAGGGAACGGACGACCATTACAACCTCGACTGCCTGAGATGGTGACGGGTCTGCTGTAAAGGGGAGGAAGGGCTGATGAGGGGTAGTGCACTAGGGGTGACCGCCTCTTTCTTTCACCTCAACCAGAAGTATCCTCGAGGAGACTAGAAGGAATCAACCGTCTTCAAATTCCTGGATAGATCGGCTATCTCAGTCTGGACTGAGAAATAAGGGGGTCCAAACTGTATCTAGTGCTGGGTAACTGCTTGGATAGACTGGTCAGTCTTCATGTTTTGGACGCGAGGTCTTCGAGTTGTCTTGTATTAAAAACGACTTCCTCCACATACCTTCACTGTGTTATTTGTACCTAAACATGCAGATACCTCATGCACAAATAATGTAGTGTTAGAATAGATGCTTGTTAAATAAAAGATCAAACTCAGTTAGCTGAGGGTTCGATTCTAGTACTTCGTTATTAACAGCCGGCTCGTTATTTTAATATGCATATTGAACGACCACATTGCGCCAAAGTCATAAGTCACTAACTAAGTTTGTGAGGGCAGGTCGTCAAAAATAAGTTTCGTTATTCATTCCATGTGAAAAACTAAACCCGAACCACCACCAGCTTTGTTTTCCAACGACCGTTGTACAATTAAATACTTTAGAACTAAAATTTAACCAACATCGAGTTCTTTATTCAGATTTGGAAAACACATTATGATGAATAGAGAGAAGGGGAAACACAGTGTGCCATGCTTTTAATGGCGAATGGAGGTAAGGTGATACACAGTGAGCCGTGATTCTAATGGTGAATAGAGGGAAGGGGATACACTGTGAGCTATGTCTCTAATAGTCATTAGTGGGAAGGGGATACACAGTGAGCCAAGAATCTAATGGTGAATAGAGAGAAGGGGATACACAGTGAGCCAAGAATCTAATGGTGAATAGAGAGAAGGGGATACACAGTGAGCCAAGAATCTAATGGTGAATAGAGAGAAGGGGATACACAGTGAGCCAAGAATCTAATGGTGAATAGAGAGAAGGAGATGCACATTGTGCCTTGCTTTTTATGGTGAATAGAGGGAAGGGGATACACAGTGTGCCATGCTTTCAATGGCGAATGGAGGTAAGGCGATACACTGTGAGCCATGATTCTAATGGTGAATAGAGGGAAGGAGATACACATTGTGCCATGATTATAATGGAGAATAGAGGGAAGGAGATACACAGTGTGCCATGCTTTTTATGGTAAATAGAGGGAAGGGGATACACAGTGAGCCGTGATTCTAATGGTGAATAGAGGGAAGGAGATACACTGTGAGCTATGTCTCTAATAGTCATTAGTGGGAAGGGGATACACAGTGAGCCAAGAATCTAATGGTGAATAGAGAGAAGGGGATACACAGTGAGCCAAGAATCTAATGGTGAATAGAGAGAAGGGGATACACAGTGAGCCAAGAATCTAATGGTGAATAGAGAGAAGGGGATACACAGTGAGCCAAGAATCTAATGGTGAATAGAAAGAAGGAGATGCACATTGTGCCTTGCTTTTTATGGTGAATAGAGGGAAGGGGATACACAGTGTGCCATGCTTTCAATGGCGAATGGAGGTAAGGCGATACACTGTGAGCCATGATTCTAATGGTGAATAGAGGGAAGGGGATACACATTGTGCCATGCTTATAATGGAGAATAGAGGGAAGGAGATACACAGTGTGCCATGCTTTTAATGATGAATAGAGAGAAGGGATACACAGTGAGCCATGATTTTAATGGTGAATAGAGGGAAGGAGATACACAGTGAGCCATGATTGTAATGGTGAATAGAGGGAAGGGATACACAGTGAGCCAAGAATCTAATGGTGAATAGAGAGAAGGGGATACACAGTGAGCCAAGAATCTAATGGTGAATAGAGAGAAGGGGATACACAGTGAGCCAAGAATCTAATGGTGAATAGAAAGAAGGAGATGCACATTGTGCCTTGCTTTTTATGGTGAATAGAGGGAAGGGGATACACAGTGAGCCATGATTCTAATGGTGAATAGAGGGAAGGAGATGCACATTGTGCCTTGCTTTTTATGATGAATAGAGGGAAGGGGATACACAGTGTGCCATGCACTGGAAAAAACGTCCACATTTACAAGCTTGGAAATGTCTTGGAAAGATTATGTTTCCAAGATATTTCCAATTGTGGAACTTCCTTGTTACTTAATGAGTGAGTCAAGTCAGTTTAGACAGCCTATGGAAGGAAAACCAAGTTGCAAGTTTTTATGCCTCTTAAAGAAGCCTCTGGAGGTAAGTTAAATCTTTGATGGGCATTTAGAAGTGGAATGCATACAAAAAGCTCTGATGAAGGAGCAAGCATATGCTCCGAAACATCGTGTTATTATAAAGAAGTTGACATCCATAAATCTTGCTTTTCTTATTGAAAAGGTAAGTTATTAAAATCTGCTGAGCTGTAGATTTGTAAATCATGTCGCGATGTGATTATCGCTCTAACACACTTGAGATATTCGTTAACAGTGTGGTATGCACAGGCGGTGAAAGTTGTATTATATTGAATTTGGTTGGTTGCATATTGTTTTGTGTTATGCTGTCAGTTTGTATGTATGTGTGAATGAGGAACCTCACATATTATGACATTGAAAATAGACTAAACTTAACATTATTCCATGGTCAATATCGCAATGCTAGTGAAATGGTAGTATACGGAAGTTTGTTTCACATTTTTTATAAAACCTTCTTTTATGCAGATAAAATTATAAAAAAATGAAGGAATAATGCCATGCTTCTCTCAGAGTAAGGGAAGATAATTTATATAGTGATTCTTATCAAATTAGATATTTCTTTATCGTCCGAACAGAATTCACAAATTATGGATGTTTTGTGTGGGTGTGTGTGCATGCACTCGTGTATAACATCTAACTTGATAGGTATTAAAATCAGGCCGTTTGTAACCATAATGACTATATTGGTTGGAACACTTGAGGAACAAAACTAATTTCACACTTCAAAAGGAACTGGAACAGTAACATTTTTCATGTTATCATATGA